TCACATTGATTTGGTAAGGGACTGATTTATGGTATATAGATGAAGTTGATCAAGTTCTTCGGCTTGCTGAAGAACTTCAACTTGTAGCTTATGGATGACTGATCAACATTTTTTTTTGTTTAGTACAACATTGTGGGGGTGGGGGTTTGAACTCATGACCTTCTGGTCATACTTAACCATTTGAACTCTGCTCGGTTTGGCAATTTAAATTACAACATTACGTTTAGTAATGGGCCGAAATCTCTGCAGAGATAATTATGCAAATTCATTAAATTTGTATTTTCATTTTACATATGCTTTGTAATCATATAATTAGTCCACTAATATTGTAATACTTAATAATTGGTGAGTCTTCTTTTCATTTTTTATTTTTTATCCGATTAATTTTTTTCTATTTTGAAGTCTTAACTATGTTCCGATTAAATTTTTCTATTTTGAATCATACAGCTGGTTGATTATATCACCAATAATATTACTAATACTTTAATTAATTTGCATATCTGAAAATTGGAATAAAAATGATATGGAAAATATTTATTTTGGAAAGGTTTCACTTACCCAACTGTGTAGTTTTACTTATATATTAAATATACTCTCATTTTTTTAGACTAAACTCGAGGTTGGCTCATTAATTGAGAGATGATTTAATGGTATTTAAATATAAACATAAAGAATTGAATTTGCAAATTAAAAAACAAAATTAATTGATGGTGCTTGGTACCGTACAAAATTAAAACAATGGTGTGGAATATTTTTAAAAATCACCTCTTAGTGCTTGGACTTCTCCATTCAAATTTGTCCTCCGGGCATCTCTAAATCGGAAACGACAACGCAGGGGTTCGAACATAGGACCTCCCGCTCTGATACCATCAAAAGAATGAACAAACCACCACTTAACCCAAAAGTTTAAGCTGATGGGTTGGGTAAATTTAATTCATTTATATGGATTCTAACAATGAATCACATAAACTTATATAAACTACACATATCCGGATATAAGTAATCAATAACTATTGAATACTCAATCTCATATAAACTTAGATAGGGTTATATCAAATCACAATTAACAAAAAAAAGCTTAAAAAACCTACTCTATCAATTTAGACACCCTAACACATGCTTGATTATAAGATACACCTATATGATATATGGATTCTTTGACAATATAGATTCCGAAAAAACTGAACTGTTCGATGATGATAACTAATTAAACTAGATAGTACAAAAAATTGTTCATCTAAAGGTAGCATTTTTAAACTAGTTAAACTAGCTATAAACTATATCCGCATAGAAAAAAAATTAGTTAAACAGTACAAAACTAGTTCATCTAAAGGAATGGGGTTTCGAAAGAGAGCATTGTTCAAAACCGAATTTGAAAACTCTACAGAAATGGGTTAAATAGTACAAAACTAGTTCATGTAAAAGGAATGAGTATCATCTTAAAGATATATGGATATGGAAAATATATCATGGTGAGAAGAAGACGAAACAAACCTCGACTTTAGAATGGTGAGAAGCTTGACGGGTGGCCAGCGACAAGAATGAAGTAAACGATCTGCTACGGGATAAGCGGAGTAAATGGTCGACGACGAGAACGGAGAACCTTGACATGATGGCCTGATACTGACGAGTGAACGGAGTAAATGGTCGGAAAAAATTGTGTTTTGGGAAGAAGAAGAAACCAACAGAAGAAGGAACGGGCGAGTGAATGAGATGAAAAGGATTTTTGGGATTTGGGTAGGATTGTTTGAGTATTTTTATTTTTGAAAACTATAAATTGACATAAAATAAGTGAATTAAAATCTAACCTTCCAAATCAACCATTTTTAATTTCAATTATTTATTAATATTTAGGTGTAAATAAAGAATGATAAATTGATAAATTGTGGATAGTTACAATTATTTTATGACAAAAATGTAAATTTTGTAGATTAAATTTTTTATGTAATTATAATCTCTAAAAAAACTATCAATGAACTAGTCCCTAATTTCGTTGATATCCTAATTCATATATGATTGTTAAAATAATGGAAGACAGTTTTTTTTTCCAAATAGCATAATAAATTTTCAAAAATGATTTAAGATAAATTAAAAAGAAATGAGTTCAAATTCAATAATAATCACCGATCTTAAAAAAATTAATTCTGATTTGTTGCTCGACAACACTCGCAGATATAAAATATAAATAAATAAATAAAAGGAAGATCTAATGCATGTGATTGAATGAAGAATGGTAATGATGCATGCATGTTGGATGTTGCAGATACAACATGCCTTGCCAACTGAGGCACATGCGTCACACCCTTTTTTAATATGAAAAGTATTTTTATTTGTAAAATTAAAAATAATAATAAGAAGAAACTAAAATAAATGGAAGATTATTTTAATGCTAGAGTTACAAAGTGTTTTAATTTTACTTATGTATGCAATGAATTATTATGGAATGTTTTCTTGAGAAATTATTGAATGAAATTTCAATCGTACTGCATTAAATATTTGAAATGGACGTCAAGTATAATTTTGCACTAATAAAGTACACAAATTATTGGTTAAATATTTTTTTCACTTTAAAAATATAATATTTAAATAATTATAAAATAAAGTCAATGACTAGAATTGTTAGATGACCTTTGTTAAAATATGTTATTGTATATAAGTTCACTTTTTAGGGTAAGTATTGACATTTTAAAAATTAGCTCAAAAATCAAGTAAGAAAAAGATTTAGTATTAGAAACGTTAATATTGATATTGAACAGAATTTTATGGACATATAATTTTTTGGAAAATGAAAATAAAAAATCAAATAAATTTCTAAAACTTCTAAGCTCATATTCCTATAAATTTTAAAGTCTAATGTGTCATTTGATAATTATTAGTATTTTATTTTTCAAAATTATACTTGTTTGCTGTCGGGTATATTTTCATTTTTCTTAAAAATGCATAAAAATTCTTAAGCTAAATTTCAAAAGCAAAAGAAATAAAAAAAATAAAAATAGAATTTAAAATACTTCTTTTCTTTTTAATTTTCAAATTTTGGCTCAAATTTTTAAAAGTTTATAACAAAGAAAAGAAATGCACGAACAAGAATGGTGTTTTTTAAACTTAATTTTTAAAAACATAAAACAAAAAACAAAATCATTATCAAACCAAGTTATACAAATTCCAACTTTCTAGAAATGCCCCTTAAAAGGGTAAAACTGGAATTTGGCCAAAAAGTAAATTAATAAGGTACAAGTAAAAGGACTTGCAAATAAAGGTGAGTAAAAAAAAAGAGAGAGAGAGTAATTTCTGTTGTAGAATTTCAAGTGGGAGTGGGACCAGATTGAACAAAGGAAAACCACAATAATTCAAAGCTAGAAAAAATAAAACTAAAAAAAAAAAGTAAATTAAAGTATCTCTCCACCGACACAAATTGATTTTTTTTTAAGAATAATATATTTGTAAAGTATTTATGTTATATATAATATATACAGCTCACCCTCAACAAAATTGCCTCATTTAATTAGTCCATTACACAACAAAATAAAGATTATGACTTTTCTTTTAGCTTTGCCCACCCACTCATTTTGAAAGCTAAGTCCACTCTCTTTACCTCCTCATGCATCTACCCCTTAATTTCCTCTCCCTCTCTCTCATATTCTCTCTCTAACACCTTATCGTAAACTATTACAGCTCGATTTGAGCATACATCAATTAGTTAACATATTATACGCCAACTTGAATACGACTCAATTGGTTAAAATATGATCAAAAGATTGTTAATTTGAATCTCCATCCTTGTATATTATACTCAAAAACAAATTAACATATTATTTTCTCGATTTGAATTCACGATATTGTGTTTTAGTACTTACAAAGAAATTATCAAATCATGTCTTGTACCAAAGATGAGATGAATAGTTTTGAGATATATCGATGACGTGTTTTAATCAAATTTATTTTCGAGGATGTAACCAATAATTCAAAATTGAGGGAAATAAAAAAAACACACACAAAGGGAATATATGTATATAAAGAGGGGTTTACAATTTTATAAAAATAATAATAAATTACAGACTTATACAACTACTTGAGACCAACTAAAAGTTTAGTTTGTGATTTAAAAAACTAAAAATAAGAATTATATAAGTAAATAATTTAGAAAACAAATATAACAAATGATTTTGAAAAAAGAGATTTAAGAATAATTTATTTTCCAAATTCACCACCCAATAATACCATAAAAATGAATTTTATGTGATTTTATGTTTTTCTAAAATTAATTATTAATTTACCAAACATGATTCATGAAAATTGAAGTGATTTTAACGGTATCAAAAGTGATTCTCTCAAACACACCCTAAGTCCAGCTCGAAAAGTTCGGGTTTGAATTAGTTTATGTGAATCTAATTGATAAAGAAAAAGACCCAACAAATCATTTAAAAAAATGAGTTTATAGTTTTTTTAAAAAATTCATAAACTTTAAGTTTATGTAACAAAATTTATATAACTCATATGCTAAATTATTTCAAATCTAAAGAAAACAACGGTCAAAAGATTATGGAGTTCGAATCGTCCCTCCACAGATTGTACTAACAAAAAATCTCTTATTATCACATGCCCTCCCTTCTCTCTCTAGAATTCTCCCTCAAAGTCACTCCAAAAGGAATTAAATAAATAAAACAGCCAGCCATATTATTATTATTAATAAAAGAAAAAAGGGAAAAGAAAAAACAGCTAGCCTTGCACACGTTCTTAAAATTAAATAATAAAGCCAGCCAAATTAATTCAGCATTTTCCAACAACTACATCATATCACCTAACATTTAACAATCATTATATTATTATACCCCTTTTTATTTTCTTTATTAAATAATTTAATTACAATAAAGAAACTTTATTATATGACCCAAAATTTCCTGCAACTTATCAGATAATCATCATATATTATACTACCTAGATCCAATCATAATAATTCATTGTGAACAATTTTTCTAATACTTCTATAAAAACAGAGTTTATGCAAAAATTAAAATTCTTAAGCACAATTCAATCATCAGGCTTGCTTCCATTTACAAAATATTCTAAATATATTTGGACAAAAAAGTAGAAAAAAAAATATAGTTACGAAAAATTTAAAAAAAAAAGTATATAATCAAAGATGGCGAAAATTAAATTTCGGGAAAAAAAATACAAAAAAGGTAATAAAATAAAACCAAAGACCTTTTTTTCTTCCTTTTCTTCATCGCCTTCGTCTTGTTCTTCAATTGTTCTTCTGCTGTGTTGTTTTCAGATGGTCCATTTCCAGATCTTTATTCTGAGATCAACCTTACACTTCGCGCCGGAAGTCGTGGCGGTGGCCGGCGATTTTCCGGTGGGAACGCTTACTGAAATTCCGTCGCAAGAAACTCGAATACCGATTTTAGGGCTTTTCAGTGCTCCCATCTTCAATTTCACCTTCGTATCGAGTTGAATCGCTAACGGCAAACCTTTCTTGCTCTTCATCGCACTCTTCAAGGTGCTCTCCGACGAGCTATCGAGCTGTTGACGGCTGCTGATTATGGAGGTCTTCAACAGAGTAGTGTTCTTCGTTTCGTGCACGAATCCAGGCAATAATCCGTCGCCGACATCGATTTCCTTGGAGAATACTGAAATCGAGACCGGATTGTAAGTGAACACGAGCTTTTTGTTAGGGTTTCTGGCGGTGACGTTGACATCGAACTTCGAATTGAGGAGTGAAGAGGATGTGATGTTGAAATAGGAGAGTTTCATGGCGGAGACGGTGAAGGACGGCCGCTGTGGACGGTAGATTAGGTAAACCACCGCCGATGCAATGGCGACGAGGAAAATTAGAAGGATGATGATTAGGGATAACCAGAGGCAGACGGAGCAGCAGCAACTGCGGCTGCGGCGGCGGCGGTGGTGCGGCTGAGGGCGGTAGGCAGGGCGACTTGCTCCGTAGAGCTGCGACTTCGTGGCCGGAAATGGAGCGGGCTTGGGCGCCGGAGCGCCGTTCGCCGTCGCCGCCGCCGCCGTGTTTGGGTGGACTCTGTCCGTCATGGCGGAAGACGATTGAGGAGAAATTGCAGTAAATTGGGAGATTTCTGTGAGATCAAACGGAATTTAAAGAAGCTTTTTAAGAGGGGACTCTGTCTTTAACCAATTTCAGAAAAAGAGACAGAGGGGAGTGGGGCTGACTGTAATTTGTAGAAATAAAGTGGACATATTTGGAAATATGGAAAAAATGACTTCCTTTCTTTAAAAAAAATATAATAAAGAGGGAAATTTATTATTATTATTATTATTACAGTCAAATAATATTAGTTTGAATACTTTTTTTTAGGAAAATACCTCCCTTCAATCCTTTTGAGTGAAATGCAATGAAAGGAAGGAAGGAAAATTTATGAATGGATCCCATCATTTTGATCTCATAAAGATCACTCTAAGAATGTCTTTGATATCTAGGAGTCATAGACCGACCATAGAACCTTGTTCGCTCTTCGGTTGAGTAGTAAGGATTAGAGAATACAATTTTACTCATTTCTAAAATCAAAGAAGCTTGCGGTTTATCCTAGTTTAATCATTAAACTTACAAAATGTTAATTTTAGTCATTGAATTTTAGAAAATATTTATTTTGACCCTAATCATTATTTTTGTAATAAATAGATAACATAATTTTAAATATAAATATTAATATGTTGATGTTGATAAGGTCATATGTTGTAACTATATAAATTTTATGACTAAAATAGACTAGTCGTTTATGAACTAGAATAATTAGAAAAATGATTTGATCTTATATTGTTATTATTTTTTTCTTTAATTAGAATTATATTATTGTTGTCCCATTGTCACCTATAACTATTAGTTTGGGTTTTAAAATATACATAATTGAAAAAGAGTGTTTTTAATTTAATTCAAATATTCTCTCTTTAAAGGCGAGGTGGGATATTTTTTTTTCATTATTTAAAATCTTTCGACCAATCTTTGTAAAAAGACAACATTTTTTTCTAGTAAAGCTCTAGAAAGAAAGGTATTGCTTGAAAAATAAAACTTATTTGAGAAGATAATTATAATTAATTTTATATTTTGTTTTTTTATTAAGAAATAACCTATTGGACTGATTTTGGTTAAAACGTTACTGTCTACTTACAAATTCAACCTTCCTTCCAATCACTCCAAATATTCCATCCCCACCCTTCATTTTTTTTTTTCATTTTCCATTTTTTTATTTAGTACAACTTAGGTTTATGTTCCAAATTATATGTATCGAGTTTAAATATCAAATGAGAAAAATAGATAAATACTTATATTAGTATAATACCAATCATATAGCAACATGTATATTTCTTAAGGAAAAAATAATCAACATTTATTTGTTTCTTGTTTTTTATATTCATCTTATAGTAAATAAACTAACATATGCAATAATAATTTCTTATTTTTCATTTGTTCGTTTTAATACTTTTGAAAATGATCCTTTAAGCTTATAAATTCATTGCAATTAATGTGATACAATCAGACTCCCGAATTATGAGATGGTTACAATTTAACCCAATTTATTTCTTTCTATAAAATTTTACAACTACAAAATTAATCATGAAAAAATACGGTTTTCAAATTAATATTGAGCTGACAACTCGATTTAAGAAAACGTAGAAATATACTAATGTAAAATTTTTGAGTTTAATTGTACGATCCCTTAGTTCAAAGTTTCGATTATAACAATACTGGTTTGTGTATTTTTTAATACTTAATTGTAACACTTTCGCATGTTTAATGGGTAATTTTTGCAATTTTATTCTTTCAATTATGTATATAGGTGTTAGTTTTGAAAGAGAGAATTTGAGAGAGGGAGAGTTGGATTTAAGTATGGGAAACGCGCTTAAATGAAAGGGAAAGTCAACCAATACAGATGGCTCCACCTCACCGGTTCGGTCCCATGAAAACCGGAGCGTGCAAATCACGTGAGAGAAAGTGGAAAAAAAAAAATAGGTCCAATCAATCTCAATTTCCAGCTGTACCCTCCCCTCTCCTCTGGATTTTCTTCTCGTTTTGTTTGATTTTCTTCCCCAAATGGGAATTGGATTCCCATTCTCTTTTTCTTCTTTTCTTTTTACATTAAATTTAAATTTTAGAATATGAATTCATCAACTATTTTAAATAAATTTTGAAACTTTCAATTCTATATTTAATAAGTAGTTTCAATCATGTATCTAATAGATTATGAACTTTCAATTTTGTATTTAATTAGCCTATAAATTATTTTACTTCTAAAATTCATGAAACTATTGTCTACCAAGGCCATAAAATTTTTGTGTATCTCATAGGTTCGTGATTTTAAAAGATGTTTGCTAGGTCGATAAACTCCTTAAATACAAAATTAAAAATTTCAGGACCTATTAGATATTTTTTAAGTTTACAGACCAATTATATTTTTTCATGACTAAAGAAAAGAAAAGATGGCTTCATGTGCTATGATTCATTATTTTAATTCAAATCTAGGAGCACTATGAAAATGTCAATTAAAAGTATAGAACCTGTTTAAAGTTCAAAAACTTATTAGACACCAACTAAAAAGTTGAAGGACTAAATTTGTAATTTAATAACTATTTTATTTATATACCATAAAAAGAAAATTCCCATTTTAAATAGTGCTCCTTTTGTCACCCTGGGAAATGAAAAAAAAAGGAAAAAAGAAATTTAGAAATGGTTATTTAATTGTGAGCATTTGTTGGTGTTGACCCACTTTTTCAGTCACAACTCATGTCCATTAAATGGAGGCATAACTATGATTAACAATATTTAAGAATTGGCTTAATTGTATTTCAATCATTCTCTTTAGATGGGTTTTTAACTAAGTAAGAATTTGACATTTTAGGCTATGGTCTACTTAATATAGCACATAGTTTACATAATCTATAGACGAAGGAAAAAAAAAAAACTTTAGTTACCCAAATAGCCATGAGACGTTTTCATGTCAAAGGAACTCAAATTAACCTCTCAAAAGTCAAACTTATATATATGAAATTGCTAATCTTTTTATTACAAGGTCTTAAAAAAATCTAGATGATGCAAGAGGGTAAAAGGCAAGAGGTTGAAAGAAAACTTGAAATGTATTTTAAAACAAGAAAGAAAAATAAAAAAGATTTAGAATTTTATAAACAATGTTTGAGACTAAAAAAATGTGAAGACATTACACCTAAAATTGGCTGTTGGGGTGTTTGTTTCTTTATTCTTATCTGTCTGGCAATCATTGGTTTTATTATTTCGTAAATGGTCAAATAATTCATACGAGTTTGTTTGTTTATATAAAATTAAATTAATAAATATTTTGTAAACATTTATATATTCCTAATAAATTCAAAATTTCTGTTACATACTCATACCTACCACTTGGTGCGGATCTAAACCAATTAATGAAAGATATTTTCTGTATTTCTTTTCTCCAAGGTCCACAAATTTTGAAACTTCAAGGGATGTGCTGCATAAAATGATAAATAAAATTATTGACTTTCTTTTAAAAGCTTGGTATTTTATTATTGGCTAACTAAGTTTTAAAAGAAAACCCCTAAATTAAAGAATTCCCATAGTAATATATAGGTTGTCGAGCATATATCAACAGTAATTGGTATATAAGATTGTGAATTCGATCTCCCACCCTCACATGTTGTACTAAAAAAAAGTTCATAGATTACTCTTTACATGGTTCCTGGTTTGAGGGGTTGAATCATTTAAAATTGATTTGTCCTTTGTGACTTCACAACACAAACCCAAGTAATTCCAAATTTACTGTAAATTTAAATATTATTTTGGTCTTTATACTAATTCTTTTGACCTCTATATTTTCAAAATATCTATTTTGGATTATGTACTTTCAATTTTTGTTCATTTTGGCATTATGACTTATGAAACGTCTATTTTGGTCCATCTACTTTTAAGATGAATCATTTTGGTCTTTTTATTTTAATTTTAGTATTACACTTCCCTCACTAAATTTCTTAAAATGTGTCCATAAATTTGTATTAAAGAATTTCGATGGGTATAAAATGTGTGCTAAAATTTTACTAATAGAAACCAAATTGATACTTTTTAAAAGTAGATACCAATATAAATATTTTAAAAGTATAAATAATAAAATAAACAAAAGTTTAAAGTACATAAAAACCAAAATGATAATTTTAAGAGTACAGTAACCAAAATAAACTAAAGTAAAAATGAGAGAACTGAAATAGTATTTAAACATTTGTCTAAAGAGAACCTTTAGATAGATAAATACTCTCAAACAAATTGTTCCTTTGGGAAAGACTGGTTTATCTTTCCAAGTAAAAGTACCCTATTTTGATGTCAATATTCCTACAAGTACATTGTTTTTTACATTACTTACAAAAAGTACATAAAAACAAACAAATAACAAAAAAGATAACAAAATCCCAACCTGGATAAGATTCTGTGTGGCATTGTCTGTTTAAATTGTCTTCACTGGAATGCCTTTCTGTTCCAAAATCACTTGTCTTTTTATATGGGGAAATTCTCTGATATCAAAAGAATATCTTTTCCTACTCTAGTCTATTTGGTATTTACAAAACCTACTCCCATAGTTCCACCAAGGCTTCAAAAAAGTTCCTTCTTGTCTCTTGCATTTGATTTGGTTTTTTTTTTATTGGTGGGATGGAAGAAAATGACCCATCTTTTACTGTTCTTCATTCTAACCAGATTGGTCTCTAATCAAATCTCCGCCTCCGACCCGACCTGGAGAGAACACAGGGTAAGGGCTTGGCCGCCTGAATAGAATTCATATCTCCTTCGTCTGGTCGGGAAGGGAGATGAAATTGATGTGGAATTAACCCATGTCAACAAGTCTACCAATCGACATGCTGATTCTTCTAAATAATGGTTATTGTGATATGATGGGAGATAAGGATTGGATTAGCTTGATGGGAAGAGCTAGATCATTCTACGACGTAATTCTTTTAACGAAATGGTTACAAATAACGGTAAATGGTTCAAATATGTATGTCCTAGAAGATGTAAGATTTCAGAGAAGAAACAAAAATTAATTAATGACATATCAGAAGAGGATAACTTGAAGTAGGCTCAGAATGTTAGAAGTTCAAATGGGACAACAAAACCTTATATGCATTGCACAAAGCAAGCAAGCCAAGATTCTGCATTTTAGCAACGTGGATAGATAGCAAGAGATAAAGATATAATTACATTTCAACGATGCCACTCAAGACGTGCTCACTGCGATAGCCGCCACGCCAGAGGTCAAGCATCCCTATATACCAGCTGCCCTTCCCAGTCTATCCTTCAAAATCTTCAGCCCCATGTACCTACAGAATAAGGACATCTCAAAATAAGCTAGTTGCTACTTCATAATTCTTCATGTGTACGTCTAACTTTGGTTTTTATTAGTTTTTGTTAAGACCAATCAACAATTTTAGTCAAATAAAGTCGGACTAATTTTTAGCCTTACCTTCCCATCATCATGACAGTGGCCTGAGGGTTGGTTCCAGGAGATTCGCTAAAGGTCGATCCATCAACAACACGGAGTCGGGAAACACCAAGGACCTTGTAATCAGGGCTCACTACCTTGCCCACATGGCAACCTCCATGGTAATGCCAAATCGAGATCACAGTGTCTCTACAGAACTGCTCTAAAGACTTGGTGTCATTAGTATGCTTAGGAATGAGATTCACGTTGGCCTTCACAGTCGCATTAAGCAGCTTTTCAATGCTTTGCCTAGTGTTTTTTGTGTATTTTGTGAAGTGTTTCGACTGCACAACTTTTGCTGCCATGCGAATTCCATCGACACACCGGTGAAGATCGTAGGGATGGCCAAAGTAGTTGAAGGTCACAGATGGGTTGTCATCAACATTAGTGTTAGCCAAGGTAAGCTGCCCTGTTGATATGGGGTCCGCAATCTTTTCAAGAATGAAACCTCCCTGGAATGCTTCTTGAGGTAAATCTCGCTTCCTTTTGATGTACGCTTGGACGGCTTCCCAGGTTCTTTGCTTTGGGGGAATGGTGGATAGTTGCCCAATCTAGTTACATCACAAATGCCAGTGCATCATGAAAATGATGATATATCATTGCTTTCATGACTTAAGTAGCTGTTTCATGTGTTTCCCAGAATATGGTTCAAAAAAATTGCAATACTTCATACATTTTTCTATGTTCATTATGCTTTTGACATCCTGTTCTTTCCAAAAAATTGCAATACTTTCAAATATGACACTAACTACGGCTATACTTACTCAAAGATAATGTACATGTCAATATATGAATGATTGAACCTAGAACTAGCAAACAAAAACTCATTTTATCATAAATAATGAAATCATGAATCTGATGCTTATAAGAAGGGTAGCTTACTTCAGCTGACATCATCCCATGATTGCATCGAATGCTATCCGAGGACTGCCCGAAACCGCTGCTAGATTCAATGTAAACACCAAGTTTAGTAATCCCAACAGTCTGTATAAGTGATTTCTGAATGGGTCTGTTGGTGGGAACAAAGACAGTGTTCATGGGGTTATCAGCCATGCCTTTCCCAACAAACTCACTGTCAAGCACCACGGATATGTTCAACTTTTCAAGATCTGCTCTTGGCCCAATTCCACTAAGCAGCAACATTTGAGGTGTCCCAATTGCACCAGAAGACAATATAACCTCACTCTGCCCCCTGTTTCTAAGAACTGCTTGATGTCTATTCCCATTTTCATCCTTAAAGATCACTCCAACTGCCTTCGGTTTCTTCCCTGTACAAAGACATTACAACATGAATTAAATAGATACCACTAAACGTTCGGAACCCAAATTATAAATCGACAAATTAACTCAAAAAATGAGTGCACAAACAGTTAAAATTGTAAACAGAGAATTTGTGCTGAAAGACATTCTCACAGAAATTTCGACAAACAGTTTATGTGCACAGTGGCTTAACGTACCAGTTGTGTCAAACACTATATTTTGGACAGTGGCATAAACCAAGACGGTAAGTTTGTGGGGGTCGGCGGTGGCGAGAAGCTCGGCGGCGGTGTGGCGGCGGCCGAAACGGTCGAAGATGGTGCCGCCAAATTTGGTGCCGTAGAGATGGTCGTAGGTGAAGCCATTGAAAGGGGAGACGCCGACATCCAAAAGACTGTCTCTGAAAGCTCTCTGCCATGGCGTGAGCTTGGGGAGGTGAACAATCTGCTTCTCAACCCATGGGTATGATTCATTCACAAGCTTTGCGTCCCATCCCACTTTCTCTATGAACCTGGATGACGTTTTCGAAATACAAATATTTAATCAACTTTTTCTTTTTTTGTGAAATATCTATAACATTCGTTTTTAATTTGATAAAAATAATAATAATAAAGAAATAAATAGAATAAACTTTAGTTTGAAAGGGTTTTTTTTTTTTTTTTGTTTACTTCAGGAGGATATAAGAAGGCTTGAACTTGATTCTTGCCACCGTGCCAACACCCACCGCTGGTTTGTAAGGATTTAATCCGTATATCTTTGACAATTTAATCCCTTAAATAAGAAATTTATTTTTAAAAATTGTCGACATACCATAGTTCCAAAATGGATGGTTGAATTTGTTTGAAGGTTGGAACTTAAGAAAAATATATATATAATTAAAAAGGAAAATTTTGTTTAGGCCTTTATGTTAGGTTGGAACTTGAGATGGGCTACGTGCCCTCTATTGGGCTGCAAATGAGTGTTTGACATTTAAAATGGGCTTGGCTCTAGGCCCATAGAAATGTGTGTAGCCCAGATAAAAATATACTAAAATTTTGTTTTTTCAAGAGTGTTAGTGTTACATCATAAATAAGGATAAAAGGTTCCAACTACTCATGGCTAAAGTTCCCTTTTTTTTTCTTGTTTCTAATTTTATTGAGTAACTATAACTATTTTTTTTCCTCATTTTTTTAGAAACATTTTCAAAATTATATATAAATTTTAGAAAAAAAAAACAAGTTTCTTATTTCTTGTTTCTGGCTCTCGTTCCAAGCCATAAATAAAAATATAGTTTTATCATTCTTAAATTCATAGTTATTGGAGACATGCATTTCTATTTTCTTTTTCAATAAAAAGAATGAAACAGAGATAAGAAAGGAAATCCTCGACCCTTAATGTTCAACTAAAATAGTTTGTTATCCGGCAATTTATGCATGATTTAGTCATTAAGTTAATTTTGAAAACTTTTTGTTCTACATAAATAATACTCCTATCATTTACAATATGACACATGACTAAATATTATATTGTTTTATTCTATAAACATCACATCATTCTTAAATAAGGTTGATTTGGCAAATTATAAGTTAAAAGTAGTATAAAAAAATGTTCATATTAGAAATTTTTTCATGGCTTGAATCTCTGCGCCTGTATTTGTAATGTAATATTTATAAACAAAAATTTTTAAAAATCGTTATCCAGAGATTTATGTGGGTCAAAATATTTAAAGTCTTTTCTATAAATTCTCACACACAAACTCCACCTAACTCACTTTCTTTTGCAAATGGATGAAGTATTATGACATTAAGAAGGGAAGATGGAATCATAAATGCTCTGAATTCATAGTACTATATATGGCATTGTAATTAATGTGTGACCTTGTTTTCACTATTACTTGTTTGAAAATTCCACTTACTATACTCAAAGTTTCTACATTATTCTTTTGTATTTTTACAAAAATAATTTTAGCCGACATTGCCAGCCTGAACCTAGCTCAATTGGTTAAGATATTTATCTCCGATCAAAAAGTCGTGAATTCGAACCTCCACCTCCACATATTTTATTCAAAAGTTGAAAAAAAAAAACTTAAATTATGTTCCACAATAATGAGGTTCACTTTTTTTTAATTTAAAAATATGTGAGAATGAAGATTTGAACTTTTAATCTTTTCGTCGAAGATATTTAATTCAACTAATTGAACTATGTTTAAGTTTCCAGATTTTTTTTTTAAGTAAAAAGGCTGCATACATGGCTAGTTACAAATAAGTAGTAATATGATGGGAGTAGTATTGAATATTTTTCTTTTATTGTTTTCTTAATTCTAATGAACTCTTTTTCTTTCTTACTCTCTTTTTCTAAGGGTAATTCTAATGAACTTTATTTATCAGCCAATGGTTATTCTTAAACTATATCCATTCATGATTTGAAATCTAGCCCCACTCGTATCTTTACAGGAAAAAAAAAAACCAACTCTATTAAAAGAAAGAAAGAAGAATTAGAAAACATAATATCCCAAAAAAGAAGTATTTTTTTGCATCTTTTTATTTAAACATGCAAATTTAGTAAGCTTCTTATAACAAGTAATGATGGGTCCACTTTATTTAATGTAACAATATAGTATCAACAATAATTAATAAAGAAAATAGATAAAGTTTAAAGACTAATTAAAATAGTATTTAAACTAATTTTAAAAAAATCTGAGAATAATGCGCTTTTGTTCAAAAACTAGCTAAACTAGGTATTTTCGCTACCAACATAACTTGAGATCATGTTTAAAATAAATGCATCTTTAGCCATTTTCTTTCCTTGGATTCCATATTTAGAACCTAATTAAATTTTATGCAACTTTCTCTAGACAGATTATTTTTATCTGTCATCGTGAGTATAACTCAATTATTTTCATCCTAACACGTTATACTAAAAAAATAATATTATTTTTATAAGATCAAACACGAAACTTTTTCGAAATGAATGAATCAAGAGATCTAGAGTTTCAAAATGGTATGGTACCTCCAGCTTGCTCTTGTGTAGAAACCAGCATTAATGCAAGAGCCACCACCCAAAACCCTAGCCCTAGCATTGAGAACTCCATCTGTAGAAATGAAGGCTTGGGAAGCAGAAGTTGGTGAAATGTCTGCCAAAGTTATATGGAAGTTCTTCAAAAATGAGACATTTGAATTGGCAAAAGGGACTCCCCCTCTTTCAAGTAATAGAACACTAAACTTTTGGGAAAGTGTGGCTGCCAAGGGACACCCTGCTGTGCCTCCCCCTACTATTATGTAGTCGTAAACGTTCTCCCCACGTCGGGATGAGTACGTCGACGATGACAACGACGAAAACGAGCTCGCCCGTTTGATGAACGGGTAACGGAACTCTGAATACGAGTTTGTCCCTGCAAAAACATTTAACCTTTCTCAATAAGGAATGAATAGACTTTCAAATTCTTTAACTTTTTATATGATTTTCTTAATATTCTACGACAAACTAAGAGGGGCCATTGCCTCCCCTCTCCTTTCTTCTTCACTCCGCTCGACTTTTGTCTTCTTCCAAAAAAATAAAAAGGGAAACTTTACCTTGACAAGGAGAGAGGATGATGAAAGAGAGGCAAAGAAGCAGAAAGGGAATAATAGCATGGAATTTCTGTGCCCCAACAAAAGCCATTGGGGGAAGAAGATGAAGACTCAGAAGAAGTTTTGCTTCTTTCAGAGCACACTATGTGGCTGCCTCTGGTTGGCTTCGCTGTAACCTTATATCACCCATGTGTGTATATATACAAAAGAAACTAGACCTGTTTTCTTGGAACTCCAAACAAAAAACTGTGTGGCAAAAAAGATTGCCACGGTGGATTAGAATAGATCCTGATCGTTCGATCAACCATTTCAGCTCATCAAGGAATCTGTCTCGAACAAGTCACCAATAAACCTAAAAACTTAATATAGCTTATAATATATTTCATCTTTACTCTTATAGTTAAGAGTTAAAAGTAGATTTACGCGGTATATGAATTAGATGATAATATATTTATGCAAAGTTTTTTTTTAGTTTAAATTAAAATTAAATTCACGTGAGAAATCTACCCACGTCGAGTTGGAATCTAATTTAAGATCAGGTGATGTCTAATGAATAAATGGTATCTCAATTTTCCTATTTGTTCCTGTGATGGAATGAAAAGTTGAGTATTTTTATAGAATGACATGTTAAATTCATGTCCTTGTATAGTTGTACTTTAAATTATTCAATAAAATGGCAAATATTGCTTACAAGGAACCATTTCTTGATTTTGAGTTGACTCAATTAGTAAAGTCAAGTTGGTTTAATATTCTTTCTTTCTTAATTCAATCCTCCCAAAATTGTACTACTTTTTTAAACAAAAAAAGTTAATAACCACGACAAAAAGGTTAATCTAAATATAGTCCAACTGACCGTTAAGATTGAGCTAATTTGAACATAATTTAACTGTAATTAACCATAAAGTAATCTCCTCTAGGGTTAAATCTCCACCTCGCTTATTGTAGATATCTATATCAATAATGCCTCTCTCGTCAAGTCAATTTGAGCATAGTCCAATTAATTAAGGTATAAAATAATCTTTCTACAAGGTAGCGGGCAGCCTAAAGTAATTAATCTTCTCCCTCTCGTTAAGTTAATCTGAACATAGTTCAACTGACCACTCACGACATGAATTAAAGTAAACTTGATATGCAAGATATAAAAGGTAGCATAAAGTAACTCTTCTGCCATCTCATYCTCCCAAGTAACATTTTCTCTCATAAAGTCAATGTAAAAAGCATAAAATAATTTTATGCAATCTAACTCTCTCGAGTACATTTTTCCCTATCTTAAAGTCAATTTTAACATAACTCAACTTGTTAAAGCATAAAGTAATGCACGATACAGCAAGTAGCGTAAAGTAACCCATCTGCAATCTCTCTCTCGAGTTTAGTTGGGCTCATTTGTTGGGCACCATTTAAGAATTACAGGTTGGTTTCCCCTCTTCCTTACAGTAAACACAACAACTCCATAAAAGAAATCTGACATTTATGGTTATCATCATTTACTTCTTCAAAACCCCAAATCAGAATCGTCTCTGTCGTGCCCCAAATCCAGCTGTAATATCACTCCTCAANAAATTATTATTTGAAATAATTCTGTGTAAATCCTTTTATTCTACGCAATCAATTTAATATGTTTTATCAAATTTTAGTGTGCTTGTTTTCATTATTATTTCTCATATTAATGCTCCTTTTTCCTTTTTCGATGAGTTCCCTTTGATTTTCACTCATGTTTGGCTTATGCCATATAAAATATTCACCTTCTTTTACCCTCTCTTTTAAGTATGATCCAAATAGACCTACTCATTACAGTGGAGCTACATTTTGAATAATTTTGCTTTCATCAGAGGGTCAAATAATCGCGACTAGGGTCAGGTCGGGTCACGATGTTCTTAATATTTCTGGAATTCCATTTCATAATCTTTTTACTTATGTATCTCATCATTTTTATTATGTCCCTTGATTTTTTCGAGGTTGGATTTCTTAACCACGTCTTTTCTTAAAAAAAAAACGACTTAGTTACACGTTTAAAAAATACTTCTAGCCATACTTTGAAAGCAAGGTTCAAAATGTCGATGTCGATGCAAATGTCGAGGTCCCGATTTTACGGATATGTTGATGGATATGTCGATGGCGATAGATATTTCAGAAGAAAAAAAATATAGAAATTGTGGATATTGATGTAAATTTTTTTGAATTAGTAAATAAAACTTTAATTGTAGCTTAATTAGATCATCATTGTTGATCATCATATCTAAATATATCAATAATATACCTATGAAAATGTTGTTACGATGATAATGTCATAACAAAATCATGTATATACTTACATGTAAATTATTTGAACTAGTAAATTAAAGTTACTGATCAATAATTTCTAATCAAATCTAATCTTTAGTTCAATAATTAAACCAGATATGTGAAATAGGTATAAAATTTGAAAAATAAAATTTATTATATACAAATAGTGGTGATATAATTTAACTGATACCATACCTGATTTTTTTCTTTTAATTCAAATAAACATATAATCTTGAGCCAAATTTGGATGCGGAAGTCTCTTTAATTTGTTTTAGAAAATATTTGATTTTTTTTCGTTAGATTTACTTATTTAGTTGCCTTTTTATAAGAGATAAAAGGATAGATGGAAACATACACTACTAGAATTTGGGGTTTTTGTGATGTTGATGAACAGTAAAAATTGTTGGGAAAAAAAACATCACAAAAGGTAAAAAAAACCGTTTTTGCTGAGGAAAAAATCAATTCCTAGGTTGTCTCACCCAAACAAACTATACATATATTTTCAAATTATTTAACCGAAATATCCTTTGACACCACTAGTGAGTATATCTTTTCAAATTATTAAAAAAATCAATTTATAGATTATAAGTAAAAAAAAGAAACGACATTACTCAACACTTCGTCGACATATCTTTGACATTGGGGAAAAAACGACATTTTTCTTCTGCGTCGATGTCGAGGTTCTGGACACGTCGAGATGTCTACGACGTATCACTTTGAAAGGAGAAAAAGAAAATCCTTGAACCCCATTCATAGTTTCAAGTATTTCAGAAGTGGTCAGAAACTCCTTCTAAGACTAAGTTGTTTATTTTCTTGGGATATGTCAATTTGAAACATCAAATCAGAACATGATAATTTATTTAATAAAGAAGAGTATATTTCCAATACTTGTAGAGTGGATGGCAGACCATTTATTGATTAGAAAACAACCTACTTATTCTCAAACTATATGTAAAACCTTCTTCGAAAAAGAAAAAAAAATGTAAAACCACTCTAATTAATTTCAATGAAAAACATAGGCAATAGTTTTTCGGTTTCTACACAATATTTCTTTCTTTCTTTTTTCTTGATTTTCCAGTTGACAATGAAAGAAGTAATTCATATCTATTATAAACCATTGTTAGGTTCCCTCTCTTTTTAAATGTGGGATCCTTAACACACCGGACTCAAATATATAATATACTTCTTAGTAAGTGATACCACAAGACTCCATGTTCTTGTCACTACGTCATCTCCCAAAAGACCTATACATTCATGTTTGTAGCTTCACAAATCTTCTAATAGAGCTAACGTAGAATCCTAATTTTTTAGGTAGGAATTATGAGCACGAGAAATCTCTCGTATCAAATACTAAATGTCTGAAAATAAATTATTAGTATGTGCACACCAACCATGCATTTAATCAGGGAGAAGCAAACATGACCCAAATGTGAGTAAATTCAACATATACCTACTCTCGTCCACAAAGAAGAGCCAGCATTAAATTTTGGGCAGCCTACTAATAAATTCTTGTCTCTATATGATATAGCATCTCCAAATTAAAAGATCTCCATTTTAATTGTCTTTTCTTTACTAACACTATGACAAATAACATAATTTCTTAACTACAATTATAATGTCCTATCAACTATTTTCAGAGAATAAAGGTTGTTTGCATTACTGGATTAACTAGAATTAAGAGTAGTTGAAACTAGGGGACCATGTAGACTATACATCAAGTTTTGTATAGCGAGACAGAGAAAAGAAATGGTACCCCTAATCGATAAATGAGGCATGCCCCTTACTATTCAAAAAATGATCAGACATCGTACCTAGTTGCGATCAAATGTAGGAGAGATGTTCGTTTAGGAACCAGACTGAAACCTTCTTGGTTCTTGGATCGAAATACGGATGAGATCAAAAAAATCATCATTGGAGCAAACAAAGCTTGTCTCTCACCATACCTTTCTTGGTTGACCAATCCAACGGACGATTTCTTCATTTTCGAGCAAGACTACTGTGGATTAGTGATATCGAGATATCGGTAAGGTCAGATTGTCTACCTACTGTCTCTTATACACATAGATGTGTATAAGAGACAGAGACTACTGTGGGTTAGTGATATCGAGATATCGGTAAGGTCATATTGTTTACCTATCACCTTAGTAGGCATATCACTGTAAGGACCATGCAAAGTGGGAGGAGACTAGAACTCCGACCCGTGCCTGTTGAAGAATGAACCGACAACTGAATTAGTTTAAAAATGAATTTAATTTTTGACAAATAAAGTAAGTGTTATTATCATAAGTACCAAAAATATAGAAGTTTTATTCTTGGAATAAAAAATGCTTTAGTTTATTCACGAAGTATTTCGAAAATAGCCAAACACGTGAAAGCCTACTAAAGCAGCTTCCCATGAAGAACGTAAACTAACAACTTTTTTTAATTCATTATTTGTTTCTAAAAATGGATAATGCGAGATTTTTAAGAAAGACGAAAAAAAAATTTTGAGAATATGATATAAAGGGACAGTTTTAAAAAAATTTGTTCCGAAAATAGGCATTGGGCCTTTTCACGGCCCAAAACTAACTTCCGAAGCCCAAAAGATACGTCCACTGTGAACAATCGGTCTACCCTGGGCCGTGGGCTCGCACCAGAACTTGTTTTAAGGGAAATAATTTTTTTTTTTCCCTTAAGAAGACATTTTAAAATATTTTTTGGTTTTAAATCAATTTTTTTGCAGATTCCTTTTTCTAGCGATAGCTAATTAGGAATGTTCATTTTTCCTACGGGTTATATACATCTTCGACTCTACTGCCCATATATATCATAATTTGTAAATAAATATTTAGACTAACGACTTTTTTCTAATTGAAGATCATCCATATGAATTTAACCATATAAATGGGGATTCATCACTGGAAATTAATCATTTATTCAAAATTTTCTTTTATAACTTATTCAATTGAGACATTATTTTAATAATAACCGAGGAATAATTCCCTAAGTCCAAAAAAATGTATTATAAATTTTCGCACGATGGAATTGAAATGGGGCCGAAGACGAGGAAGGTTTCCCGTCCCCACCCCGTGAACACCCCTACTACAAAGGATTCAAAGGATAATACTTTTTCAAAATACATTCGACAATTAAATGAATGTGAGAGAAATAGAGTGAGATGTTAGAGAGAGAGAGAGAGAGAGAGAGAGATTGATGAACAATTTACTTCCCATGAAGTTAAAAATGACAAGAATACAATTTAACAGAAGCCAGAGGCTTCCATTTCATCAACAACTTTAAAAGAAGAAAAAACAGAAGCACATGGATTCAATAATCAAAACCTCAATGTGCTTCTTTGACCCATACAAACTTCCAATCCAATAATAATTTCCCATTCTTCCAACTTAATTTCTATAATGCCAACTAAAAACAGCTAACTATTTACACATAAATTCTCCACATTCATAATTCTCAATCTCCATATCCCTCTCTTCCATCAGTCTGTCGTATATTTTGTACAACTTCACCAATGGAGAGAAGAGAATCCACCCAAAATGAATCACTGTGTTTCCTGCATTCTACACTTTTCATTCCACACTTCCATATCTTCATCAGCTGCACACGGCTTCCACCGAGAGCTTCTTCATCACGTTTGGACACGGGTCGCCCCCGAACATCTCCGGCGCCACCGTTATCGTGCAGAAGTTCTGTCCGATGCAGTTCTGCAACAACAACCTCATGTTCAGTTACCACAAGAAAACTAGAGTGTACGAGAGCCGAATGTTACTTTACTTACCCTTTGGAAAGCATCATATGAGTGGTGAGCATGGCAGCTTCCCTCCCGGAAACTCCCGCATACACCTTCCGGGGTTCCGAAGCTGGCGAACTTGATCGACGAAATCTTTTGGCCCGGGCCACAGGACAGATGAGCCTTTGGCCTCAGGGGCTTGTTGACTTTACCTGAGGCTTGCATCTGCCAGTTCATTAGAGTTGGTTGCCACTCGTTGATATCGACACATACGCTGTCTACGTCTCTTCTGACCAGAGAGATTCCGTTCGGGTCTCCACCCCATTCTTCAAACACAACCAACAGGTTGCCTGTCGGGTTTAACCAAGAACGGGGAACATGATACCTAATAAAACAACGATCAAAGAGTAGTTAGTTTTATCAATGTTTGAAGAACTAAAGAAGTATAATTTAGAATTCAATTTGGACCTTTTGTTGCCTACCATCTCTGAGACGCCTCGCCGCAGTTACTTGAGCATTTCTTCTCATTATATGTACCAGTGTAATCACAGTAATCACAAGAACCAGATGCCTTGTAAGCAGGCCAGTACCGCCCGATGTTCTGGCCATTTAACCATATTTGTCCTTTCCCCATGCTACTCATATCTAACGCCAAGGGCGAATTACCAGCAGGAGCATTGAAAGTAGTCTGAATAAAAACACATCAGAAATATGTAAGTTGCAGCATTTGAAAGCCTAAGCAGAAGAAATCAGCTCTTTCGGTTGAGGAAATGCAGTTACCGACATTCCCCAACAACCTTAGCGGATAAAAGACGAGGATGTTGAAATATAAGTTACCTTAAACCACGTTAGCGGTTGCCTCCGAGCAACGAGCGATCCCTGGATCCACTCAACAGAGGAACTTCCACTGAGGGAATGAAGACTCATTGCTTCTCCATCCAAACCAATCTAATTGGGAATGAGCAAAGATGTAAAATGTTAAACATTCTGATGCTGGGACATCAGGCAGTTAAGTACAGGACAAGAAAAAAAACCTTGTAGGTCCATTTCTGCCAGGTCAAGTCTCTTCTGCCCTCGTTGAGACCGTTCAGATTAACCGGGCCAAGAACGCCAGCGTTCCACATCTCGAAATGTGGACCAACATTCTGAACTCATACACAAGAGATCAAAAGTCAATAAGCAAAATATACAATCATATTATTTCATCGTGTAACTGACCAAGTGGGGAACCAAGAACAGCATTGTATTGCATTATAAGTCTGTTTCGAAGGACGAAAGCTTACCGGGAGACCGACTGCAATACTTAGAAGTGCAATTCTGTTGTTCCCTGCCCTTAAGTTCACCCCCTTGCTAAATGTAAGCTTTGGGAAATCTAAACTTCCATATGCAGTTCCTGTAAAAGGCAGGAAAAAAAATGTGTTCTCAGACTAAGATAAAAAAAATGTGTTATCAGACTAAGTTGAAAATTCATTTTGTTCTTTAAGCTGTGTTCTTAAAAAATATCAAGGAAATATAGAGTTCCAGCAGCTTTTGAATTATGAATTATGAAAAGGTAAATTCTAGAGGTTCCAAGAGGACAATCTCCATTGATTTTGGAGTAAAGCCATTCTTTTACACACACACTGTTTGGTATTATCTATTATATAAGATGAACTTAAAATCATTCCAAAATCTACCAGGTTATATAAATAATGAGAAATATGAACTTTCAACCAATGATATTTTGTGCACCTGACAATTGACCGTTAACGAAAACGTGCATAGCATGGCCAGCTGACAAGATTGTAAGAACAGGATACTTTCCACTCCTCAAAAATCCTTCATTAGCATCAATATGAACACTGCAAAAGGAGAAACATGGATTATTCAATATAGAAATCCGTCATGGTTATCGAAATGAATGGAGATGGAAAGGTTAAAAGGGAAAGAAATATGCAAATATCCTTCACTTACTCTGTCGAGTACCACAAGTAATCAGTGGCATCCCTTGTAGTATTTATCTGCTCTAACAACCCAACTGTAGTAAATGCTTTGTCATTGTAAGAGTCTGGCTCTTCATTGTACGCCTGCCATGAGAAGCCTCCATGCATCGGAACAGGGGACATATTCATTCTCGCCGTTTGGGCACCGACCTGGACATAAGAATTTGAACATTCATTCAAAAATCTAAATCTAATGCAGAATTAATAGAAGGTGAATGTTACTTGGAATACATTTCCAACACAAATGCAAAGACAATTCAGAGTTTTTCCCCATACCCTTGCAGTGTTATAAACTGTATTTTTACAGTCCGGAAGAATGCTGATAGACCAAGGTGGAATGTTGTAGTGCATGTTACCAAAAGACACCGTTGCGTAGGATCTTGGGTTGTAGTTCGAAAGGAATGCAGCACAAGCGCCAGATTTCGATTTGAATACATGGGCCTATGATTAGATTGAATTCAGAGATTAAGTTTTGCAGGTTCATCAAGTATAAGTAGGCTAGTAGCAGATGAAAAAATCAAAATGTTCACCTCTTGATAATTCCCAAGTCGTGTCACGATCGGGTCTCCAGACACGAGAGCTGGCTCACAAAGTTTTATTGCTCTGTGCAGATCTTTCAGATGACCCCATTTAGGTTGCCTCAATAAGCCTGCAAAGTTTAGGTTGACACAGTTTTAGGATACAACCTATGATAGAGACCGAACAAAATAACTTTTATAAGTTGCAAGGTGGAAGAACAAGTCACCAATTCCTACATATTATATAATAGAACAGGTCAATATTCCACAACAATAAAATCCTCTGTGGAGAAAAGTGGATATATGACTGAGGTTTAGAGATAAAATATTTGCAAGTAGGCTAATCACAAACATCATTTGACCAACCCCTTGTCATCCGTATTGGCTGTCCCGCTCGGAGTCAGTTCAGTCACTATCAAAACCGTACTTGTAAAACATTCGAAAAGTGCAACATGGGGGACAAAAATTACTTTACTTTGTTATTGATTAATAAAATCTTAGTTGTCCTCTTCCAATGGTGAAGGTATTGAAGCACCAACTCTTCAAACACAGCAAATGATACAAGATAAGAAAGTCAAAAGCTTTATAAAGATTTAGCACTAAAGACAGGAATATAATCTTTTGAGCTTACCATATTCATCAATAGGAGCATCGTAATCATAACTAGTGGCAATGAAGGGACCACCAGCAGTTCGTCCAAAATTTGTTCCGCCATGGTACTTGAAAACGAACAAGAACGAGTCAAAATCAGTTGACTGATCAAACATATTCTTTTCAATTAGGAAATGCAACCAACAATGAACTTACCATATAGTAGTTAATGAATGATCCTCCCTTCTGAATGAACCTCGCAACTGCAAAGGCCATGTCTTCTGCTGGTCTATGAGGAACTGCACCTCCAAACTGAGTAAACCTGTAAGAAAAAGGAGAAAGGGAAAGGAAACAAATATGATTAGGTAGAAAATTATTTATAAGGGCACCAGATGATATACAAGCAAGACAACTCACCATCCAGTCCAGGCTTCTGTCCACATCTTGGGTTTATAAGCTTTGTTCGGGGAGAAATAATCGCAATAGAAACCGTTGCAGGTGTTAATCTGTAATAAAACAATTTACAAAAGCTTAATAGTCACCCCTTACAGTATGATGATTAACAGTGTTGTCGTCACAATTACTTCACCAAAATTTGTTCAAAGTACATTCCATTTTGAATTTTCCAGTTTACTGTGTTAGTAAAGCGACATAGGAATCTTTAATAGATGGAGACATGGAAGCATATGTTTTTTCTGCCCTTAACGAAAATTGAAGAATATGACGAGGAGTTACATATCGATAAGCTGTAAAAGTATTCACAGATGTTAAAGGAGATAAAGTAATGCAATAATGTAACAAACAGACAGAAGAACAACAAACACGATCCATGTGCAGGGAAAATGATTATTAAATCCATTTCCAATCAACATAAGGTCTGGTAGTACTTACAATAGGATCTGGGGCATCATCTTGCTTGCACATGACCCATGGGACACCGGTACCAAGTCCCAGAGCCATTTGTGCGGCCCAGTTCGTGTAAGCTTTTCCTGGTGCACCGAGCTCATATTCCATTGGTCCATATTCATTCTCAATCTGTAGAAAACATTGAAAAAGAAAGATGCTTCCTCGCTTTACTGAGTCACTTCAACTTTAAGGAAAATCAAGTGGAAGAAAGAAAAGAGAATCTATCTTCTCAGTGTGGAGACTTTTGTTGTTGCTTACCTGAGATAAAATTATTGGACCACCCTGAGATTCATATAACCTCTCTGCTTTCATCATACCCACAATTTTCGTGGTGAACTTTTGCATTTGAAACTTGAATGTGCCAAATCAGAAGTAGAAAATTGATTTAGAAATAAACCAAATCAGAAGCATGTAACAGGGGCGATACAAAAATGATACTTCGAATTCAAGACTACGAAACGCCTACCTTGAAAGGCCCATTATCCGTCCTGAAGCTGATACCAGGAATGTACTTCAACCATACAGGGAAACCACTGATAAAATAAATGAAAGAACATCTATTATCCTTTATCTTCTTCCCAACTTCTAGTAGTAAGAAAACAGGAAAATTTACTAATGATGCATTACCCAAAGTTCCATTCAGCACAAACATAAGGACCAATCCTGAGATGAGCATAAAGGCCAGCTTGCTGCACCAGCTTGACAAACTTAACCAGATCATAGTTCCCCTCAAAGTAGTACTGCAAGATGAATTTTGAAAATTGTGCTTAAGTTATATTTACCAAAAGGGTGAGAGCATGAAGAAAATTACTGAAAATATATTCGTCCATTACTTTGCCAGGTGAAGGTTCATGCCCATTCCAGAAGACATAGGTCTCGACCACATCTAGACCTCCCTCCTTAGCCTTCTGAATAAGATCTGGCCACATCTGCACCAGCCCAGAAAGATCAAATTTCCAAAAATGTGTAAGGAACCCAGAAAAAACCAAGACATGCAAGGGGGGAAAAGACATAGTCATATTTCCAGAGAATCTATGAAAATGCCCATCTGAATAAGGCACCAATAAAGCACACCAAAAACCAGAAACAATAACAAAAAAGGGGAAAAAAACAAAACCATACAAACACACGCCATGAAGCACATTCAAAACATACCTCAGGAGTGCTTCTTGGGTAGTGAATGGATCCTGAAATGAGAATCCTCCTCTGCCCATTAATGATAATAGCCTTGGAATCATAGGAAACAGAGGCCTCAACAGAAAAAACACCAAATAAGCAGAAAATCACCACTATCACATTCCACATTTGGAGCTTCCCCAACCCCATTTCCACCATGGAACAGAACAATAACCCCAACCACCCCCTCTGTGAAAAAGAGCTTAAACCAACCAAAGGCAATGGAGATGGAGGGTTCTTTTTGTTATTCTTGTTCCTTCCCCCTTGTTGCCCTTTATTCTATGCTTGTATGATTAGAGATGGAGGGGGCAGTGGCAGGAAAAACAAAAGAAACCCAGCTGGGGCTGAACCTTTTGTTTAGTACTTTCACCTCACTTTTCTCCCACCTCTCTCTCTCTTGAGAAGAAAAAAAAATGAGGGGTTTTGAAGAGGAAGTGGGAAAATACAAGAGAGAGTGTGATGTTGGGGTTGCGTGATTTGCTTTGAATTTGTTTATGCAATAAAAAAGGAAGACTCTTTTGCGAAAAAATGGAGATGCTCTGCAGCTGCTTTTAAACAAACTCGAGAATGGAGGAGGAAGGACTTCGTGGGACCCTTTCTTCTTTGGCCATACCCACACTGACGCGGAGCTTCATCCAATCACCTAACTGCTACTGAAAATTTTGACTTCAAATTATGTTACATTACAGAAGGGAAAAAATTTTCATGAGGTGAGAATGGATCAACAAACTCTTGACAATTTTTTTCTTCTTTTTTTTTTGACTTCTCCTTCTTGACAATAGAAAAAAAGAAATTTTATAGTAAAATTGGGAGTTGGTTTTGTATCGTACAATTTTTCGTTCAAAATATGAATGACAGTTTGTTGAAATATTACTTTTAAAACATTTATGAAAGATGAATGATAATATTGGAACTTTTGAAGGGATCGAGGTTTTTATAACAAATAGTAAAATTTAAGGATATTTTTGTAATTTAATCTAAAAATTATTCAAGGAGAGTGCAACAATATGGCTACTTCTTACTAATCATTAGAAGTAGATCCAAATTTTACTTATACATCAGAGACAGTATAAAATTATTAGTTACGTACCATTGGCTTCGTATAATAAATTTTTAAATTTGACTGTTAGTTATATCATATTTTAAAAAATAAATTCTATTTTTATGTATGGCTGTTTTTACAAAAAAAAAAAAAAGTAATATTTGTTTAGACAAAAAAAAAGTAGTTGAAAGTTTGTTATTAATATTTTAAATGTTTAATTGATGAAATGTGAAGGATGTGTTTGGCTGAGAGTGAAGAAAATTGATTCTATATTTTTTTTCTTTTTTCTTTTATTTAAATTTTAAACATTACAAAGATTCTTTAACTCAATCCCTATGCAGCCGGTTTCTTTCCTACTTTACCGGTCCATTAACTCCGTTGAACTTGTGTGATGTTCACGCTCCATCATGGCGCGTGAGATCATGGAAAGTGAATTGGGACCTTTGGAAATTATAAATTATTTTCTCAACTCTCCAAAAATAGTTTTTAAAGTTACTCTTCCAGTTTTTTTATTTTTTTTCCTTTTGGGCTAATAAAAACTGTAAGTTTGGTGGACTAAGAATATGGTAAATTTCTTAATAATGTTTACATTGTACTAAAAAATAAAAGATGTTTACTTTCGCTCAAAAAAAAAGGTTTATGCTGTCAAATAAAAGTAATTATGAAATAATATAATTGATTGAAAATTAAATGAATTAACTTTAAATATCCAAATAGACATAAAAGTAAAAGTTTGTGGACTTATTAAAAACATTTAAAATTACAAAGATCATATAGACCAGATTTTAAAATTCAATAATTTATTATATATTTTTTAAAAATACAAGAACTAAAATGATTTGAAAATACATGACTAAATTGTCATTTAAACTTTTTTTTCTCTTTTTCCTAAGTTCTAGTGAATCACAGTTTTATGGAATAAATATTTTTGAACCATTTATCAATATATAAATTCAATAACTATATTTTAAAAAAATTGAAAAAAAGAAAAAGTTATGAAATTACTTTGGTAAAAATCTCTGAGTAATAAGGGGAAAATAAAAGCTACCTAAATAAATTACAGACAGAAGATTGTTTACCATCTCTGGCCAACTTTGACTAACTTAATTTATAGCTCTGATAGGTATAATAATAGGGAAAATTGACAAAATAAACATTCTGTAGGTGCCTCTTAAGTTTTCTAATCGTCCCCTCCAAAACACAAATTTTCTAATCACTGACATCACATACTTTGTCAAATGACATTTCATACCCCTCCTTACTTTTTCTTCTCTTCCAGACTCCATCTCTCTTCTATCTCCCCTCCTCTTTCCTCCATTTCTTAGATTTGTTTGATCTTATCCATGATTTCTACACAACACACACCAGTTTTTGGCATCTCCACTAGGAATTCAACGAGTGGAGGTCCCGCTCGGTTGACATTGTTGAACGATGACAACATTGCCGGCGGCGAGAAAGAGGGAGAGAATAATTTGCATATGAAGTAAGATAAAAATTTCCTTATTATTTTTCCCAACTCTTTCACCCTCTCTTCTAAAATCAAATTTTCAAGATTTCAAAAACTTTCCTTCTATATCTCTTGCACGTCCCTCCTGTACGGACTATCTTCTTCTCCATGAAACCAAATGCGTCGAGGAGGGAGGGGAGAAGAGAGAGAGGAGAGAAGAGAGAGGGACAAAGCGAGAGCGACGTCATCGATAGAGTGAGATCGAGAAGGACAGAGCGAAAAGACGAGAGCGAGATCGAGAGAGCGGTGAAGAAGTGGTGATAATAACGAAAAAAATGGGATGGTTAGGAAAAAATGGATTGTTTTCTTTTTCTTTACTCCACCAAATTGAGTTAAATTAAATTTTAAATTTAGGATTAAAGGAGCAGATTTATATTATGAGGAAGAGATTAAGGAAAAAACATGATTTTTTTTTTATACTTCCACCTAATTAGATAAAATTTTAAATTTACTATTAGAGAGGACTACCTAATTAAATTATAAATTTGAATTCTAATCCTAATCAAAATTAGGAGAGATATTAAAGGAGAGATTTATGTTAATTTTTCAAATGATTCGTTCAAATAATTAAATAGGAAAAAACAATTAAGAAAACAAATCTAAATTAAATTTCAAATTTAAATATACTAAAATTAATGCGATTTTATAATTTTAAATTTTAGTTAAAAAAATCTTCAATGCTTAGTATTTTAAATTTGAGATTTCGTCTCTCCATTCCAATTTTTAAAATCGTTTCTCGCTCAATCTCGCTCTCGCTCACTCATCTCTCGTTTTCTCTCTCTCGCTCAATTCTCTCTCTCTCAACTTTCTCTTATTCATCTCTCTCTCTATCTCCTTCTCCATCTCATCGTAACTTTCTTCCTCTCCTGAGCCTCTTTCTTTGACGAACGACCTCCTTCGTCGGCTTTGATGCATCCGTTGCCGACGATTGTTGAAGGTCACGAGAATTATGCTATTTAAAAAATGGTGAGAGATTTAGGTTTTTTTTTTTTTATGGTTTAGTAAACAAGAAAAAACTCGAAAAAAATCTGGAAAAGGAGGAAGATGAGGAAGATGGAGGTAGGGAGACGAATTAAAGAAAAAGAGAAATAAGGGAGGAAAAGACGAAAACTAAAAACTTTTGGTAGTAGAGTGAGGAGGGGCATGGGAGGTCATTTGGCAAAGGAGGTGTCATGACTAGAAAACTTCTGTTTTGAGAAGAGCGATTAAAAAATTTAAAAGGGGCTCACAGGAAGCTTATTTTGTCAATTTTCCCATAATAATAATACTTTAACTAGAGCTAAAATTCTTATTTTTTTTATTAGCCACATTTTTAATGCGATTGACGGTAAGATTAAGATACATAAGAGTAGGATTATGAGCACATAATTAATTATATCAATAAGATTTTTAGTAATTTTTTTTTGTTAGGATTGGATTGTTCATGAACATAAATCAACAATTATTGAAACTAATTGTTACATTATGGGTTGAATAAGATTCAATAACCACTACGTATTGTATTTTCAAAATATTTAAAATAATTACTATTGTATCTATAACGTTAAATTTTGTTTATTGGTCATAATTATCCTTAAACATACTTTGAAGATTAATCTTAGTTTGTTTAAATATGTAAAAGTTTGTTTAAAAGAAAATCCTAATAAAACCTAGTGGTAGGTTTAGTTAAAAGTTTGTTTGAGGATATCATCATTCCTAACCTTTTAGATGTAGGAATAGTGATTCGGGCCAAAAATTATAACTTGGAACATAGGACTAGTGATTCAAGTCCATATAATATCATAACTTGNAACAATTGTTCAATGTTGTCCAAAGTGGTTCACCATTTGGCAAGAATTAATCAAATTATATTTTTACAAAATAAATATTCTATCCGACCAGCTTACTTACACCATTATTTCAACACTTGATACTCAACCTTATAGTAAAAATAGGAACACGATCTAAATCGTGAACCTTCTAAGATCAGTAAAAACGCCCAGTTGACACCGTGTCAAATACTAGTAACAATTTAATTTTATGTGTCATGTAAGTGTTTAATTATTAATTCGATCAATGGAATGATGCCACTTGTAAATAGTAAACTCATAAGAGTAAAGTTGAAGGGAAGTTTGATAATTTAATCAATTATCTCTGTTGACGTTTGTCGTTTGGAGCATGTCGGTTGTCGTCACGGTTCTTCTTCATCAAATACTCAAATTTACACGCTTTGGTTTCTCCTGAACCACTGCCACGTCACCTAATCCAAAAATCTGATTATCTACTATTTATTCGCCGTCTTTATTCTAATTAATATTAATTTTCATACCACGCCTTATATTTTATCTTTGGAATGATTATTTAATTACTCTTAGTAAATAATTCTAGAATATTTCATGTCTCGATTAAAGGCGTCAGGCAAAAGATAAGATTCGATCGGTGTGTCAGGTCTTTTTCATTATCTCGAAAATATCAGTGGTCGAATTATGAAGCTCAACCAACGATAATTTGATAGCTCGGTTAAATCATTGTTGATTGAGAGAAAGTCATATTCCAAGGTTAGATGTTCAACTGTCAGTAATTGCGTAACAAACACTAGAACGATTTATGGTTACGTGAGACCCACGCTACTTCTCACCCTATAAATAAAAGCATTGTTTTAAACCCAATACACAATTTGATTCCTCAGCTTGAGAGTTTAGTTTGGACCTGTGAACATCTGAGTGTTTGTTTTCTTTATGTAAGTCTTTTCTCACCTATCTCACTTTGAATAGTTTAACTCACCATGTTCACGAGTAAGACAAAATGGAAGGAGAAGAAGGATATTTATTTGGCAGTTGCGTTAATAAATTCGAATGGCAATAACTATTTCGTAACAACCGAATTGGTGTTGTATTTATGTTCCCTTTTTACCCTCCCAAAGAGAACACTCCTCTCTCAACATTTTTCAAATATCAATTATTCTTATCATCTTTTTTAGGCACCGAATATTTTTGT